CCAGGAACATATCTGTGTTAATCCGAAAAAAAAATGTCAATTAGGAGGGAAAAAAAGAGGGAAGAAAATTTAGAACTGAGGATGGGGTCAGAATCTGGAGGTGACTCCAATCTGTGGAAGCAAGGGAGATTCCAGCAGCCCCCCCCCACCATGTGTGGCCTCGCGCAGGTCAGGTGACCTCGGGACCAGCCGGGAGGCCGTGGCGAGGCCACGGCAGCAGACACAGGAGGAAGGTGCCCCCAGAGCTGGGACGTGTCTGCGCCGTCCTTCACAGACAGGTGTCCTCTCTCTGCATTTACTGCGGTGGGACTTGCCCTTTGTTGTTTTCGGTCTTCATTCAGTCTGTACAGTAACCAGCAATTTTGGGGGGTATTTTGGTAATAGAGCTCTAAGGACAAAGGACAGGGTCATTGGAGGAAGGTGGTCAAAAGTACAAACTCCTAGTTGGGTGAGGAAGGGCCGGAGACGTGCGTCCACCACGGCAGCACCACGGCAGGACGGCCGGGGAAGGCACCAGGACAGCAGGCGCTGGGAGTTCTCGTCCCAGGAAAAATTGTTCCCCTTTCTTCTTTGCTTTCTCTCCTTCCTGCATCTCTGTGGGAGGTGAGATCCTAACTAAAGCTGCAGTGGTGACCGTTTCACTGCGTCTGTGAACCACACCATCGGGCTGTGCACCTTGAACCTGCCCGGGGATAACTTACATCTCAGTAAAACTGCGGGGGGAAAAACCACACAAAGAAGGAAATGAACAAGGCCCTTAATCTGATCACACGGAGAGAAACAATGTGATGGCTTTTGTGAATAAACTTCCAGATCAAAAAAACAAAGAATAAAGTTTGTTGTCCTTGATTTTAAATTGCTTATGGCCTGGGCTCTCCTGTCTCGCTCTGCTGTGTGACAGCGACCGCGGTCACGGCGGAGCGGGGGGAGGTCCACGGACGGAAGCCCTGGACAGACTGCAGGGACGAGGCTCTTGGGCAGCCGAGCGATGCCCCATCCTCACTAAGGGTGTCTCCTGCTCCTGGAGACTCTTCCCGAGGAGGAGGGAGCGGGGCCGGACATCCCACCTCTGTGGGGCCGGGGCTTCGGGGCGGAGGCTGTGCGCTGGGCTGGGCTCCAGGTGGACGCCCCGGGGGAGTCCTGGTGCCCGGCTGTGCTCCAGGTCCTCTCTGCCTCAGTGCCCAGAGGACCAGGCGGTGCCCACCTTGGGAGTCCCGGAGCCTCTCCCCTGAACCCTCTGGAACCCTCACTTGGGCTGCTTACTTTTTAAAAACTTCATTTCTTTGTCCAGGTGATGGAAGTGCTGTCACAGCCTCCCCTTTGGCCCTCGTAGGATCTGCGCAGTGGGCTGGTTTTAGACGGGGCCCTGGGGGACCTCTGAGCGTCTCTCCACCGCCTTCCCCGGGCTCACCCTGAACCTGGAGGTGCTGGCTTCCAACCTGCCTTCCCAGCTGTGCGCCTCCCCCAGCCTTGACTTTCCGCCCAAGCTTGCTGCTCTGGGGGCGGCGGGGGTGGGCGGTGAGGACAGGATTGGACAGACCCCCCCCAGACGTGGAATGTGCGTCTCAGCCCCCAACACAGGTCAGTCTGACCCAAACTGGCTGCTGCTCGGCTGCCTCCTCATGTTTTTATACTTCTGTCTTCTGTCCTGTTCACTTACTGTATCACAGGGTCTCCCTAACAAGCCTTTATAACCGTTGTTTCTGATTCCGTAAATTCCATGGTCTTCCATAAAGTGCATTTCTCATCCGTTGCTCAAGCGTTCCTCTAGAATAAGACTTTTGGATTGTTTTCACGTATTTCAGTGTGTTTACAGCTGTTTTGGTATTTTTAGAAGGGAATTCTGGAATTAATGGGTCAAAAATCTGAATTTTATAAGACTTTCGACATTATTGCTAAACTACTTTCCAAAATGTTTATACCAATCCTCAGGCAAGGGGTAGCCGGCTTTTCACAATCCAGCTGAAGGAACCAAGCCACTGACAGCCGCTCCCTGACACACCAGCGTCCACTTTGACTTCATTTGGCCCCACAGACGAGGCTTTCGACGGGGGAGCCCGTGGTCTGGAGAGACGGGCGTGGCGGGAGCCTCGGGCGCGCCCTGCCCTCCCCCGTCAGCACTGACGCCCGTGACCAGGCAGTGAGGGGAGAGGCCAGCCCGTGTGCTGGCAGAGGTGCTCTGATGGCCTTGCATCTCGGAGCAGAAGACGCCCCGGGACTACGTTTTGGCTTTAACAAAGATTGTTTAACAAAGAAAAACGTTTCTTCCTCCAATTTTATATTTTGAGAGTGTGTCTATTATAGGTGAGTCTTTCTGGAATCTGAGACACTGGGCAGGTGGCTAGTCCACTGTCGAGTAGTATGTGGAAGGTACTTAAGTGTTGTGGGTGGTCCCTGTGGATCACGGGGAAGTGACAGGTGAGGACCCTTCCAGGGAGCCGGTCGCAGGCCGAGTGACCACAGAGCCCCCGGGTGTGAAGTGCTGAGAAGGACACAGTGTCTTCCTCGAAACTGAGCCATCCGTAGGCGTCCATCCGACAAAGCTGACTACCTGGACATTTCTCTAAACTCCGTGGCCTGGACACATGGGGAGGCTGGGGAACCGCTCAGGAGCCCGGGGCCCAGAGCCAGACCCAAGAGGCGTGGTGCCTGGAAGCGGCCTGTGAGCCTTTGTGACACCTGCCCGACCTGGGAAAGCCCTGATGGACGCTGTTGGTTCACTGGGGACTTCGGGCGTGGAAGGTGTTGAGCGGTGACGTCCATTAAGGAGGAGGCTGTGGGAGTGGGGACGTCCCTGTCCGGGCGTCCGGGAGTGGCGTGACCTCCGGGGAGAGAGCAGGGGAGACACTCACTCACGAGCCAGGATGGCTTCCCCACCAGCAGGGTGCCGCGGGCCTCCCCAGCTGATCACATCATTTAAAGACTCATCTGCTCTCACGTGCCTCGGGGCAGGGAACCGGACCTCCCCAAACCGCAAACTGGAGCGACTGGTGGAGAGACGCTCCTGGGGGCCCCGCCCGGCGCCTCCCGAGCCCAGTGAAGATGCTCACCCAGGCAGAGACCTCTCGTACTACAAATGTGGTAACACCTTTTTATTTAGAGTAAGATGTGTTAACATCCAGCATGACAAAATTTGTACAAAGTTCACAATTTAAAAATGAATATCACTGCAACTTGTGATTCCACACATTTATAGCAAAATTAAAGTGTCAACCAACCCATGCCGTGTAGTACAAAAATAAATCAAACTTCAGTTCCACAGAGAGCACAATAAATATTTATACAAAATTCTGTCTTCATAAATGATCACTTAAGTTAACTGAGAAATGAACGTGAACAAGAAGGTATCATAAATAAGCTGCGATGACTCACGACAACTCCCTCTGAAAGGGCAGCATTCTAACGTGTGACACTTCTGTGACTCCCTAGGTAACAGTGACAGATAGCTTCTGACTTGACATTATGTCCCAACATTAGATGAGCAGCAGATTTGTGCTTAAAACCCCCTTCCATTGTACACAGGTGATGACAAGAAAAATCCCAAACTGACACTACCTATTACTCTACTGAAAGCATCACTATATTGGCAAAGAAGCTGCAGACACCACGGGGAGGGGATGCATATGCCGATATGAACAGCGGGGCCCTGCGGGGCCGGGGGCCCCGGTGGTATATATGGCGTCGGAACGCGAAGCACCTTGCTTCAGCTCTCGAGAAGGCAATTCTGAGCATGGCAGCCGCAACTAACCGCACAACAGGAAGAGGGCCCCGAGAAGGTGCCGCGGAGCCCCAGGAATCACACCGTCTTCTCCCAGCTCGTTATCAAAGTCCTCCTGGAGAACTGTAAGCTCTGTACAGCGAGCTGTGTGAAGTGCTGCTGGGATGCACACGTGTTTGTACACATATATACACCGAGGTGGAGAACCGTGTCAGCGTTTGCTGTGAGGTCCCTGTGAGCGCCCTCCCCGACACCCGCGGGGCAGCGGGCGGCCTCCTCAGATTCTTCCAGGGCCAGGGTCGCAAGGCTACTGACGCGGGAATTGCACACCTCCGCACGGATATATAGGGCAAGGTAAGTGCAAATAGTCGACTGGCACGTTGTGGGGACAATGACCCTGTAAGTCCTGTTCTGCTAAAAATATTTTTTTTTATTTTTACAAAACCCATCTTTTTCTCCATAACAAAATTTTAAAGTACTTCTGTACTTCCTGCATAACATCAAGACACGGAAGGAAGGGTGCTGTCACATGGACATCAGGTCAACGTCAGTCAGAAAGCGCGGCCGCGCGGCGCCCTCGGGACCGCTGGGGCGGGGATGCAGCGGCGGGAAGCGGCCTTACGCGTACACATGGTGCAGCCGGCGGGAGAAGACAAGCGGGTCTCCAGGGTGTAAACGCGTCCGCGATGATCTAGTGTGCAGCAGAAAGTGCTGAAGTACACTGAGTTACTCCTAAACTCTGATTGCATTCATTCTCAGAGGAGGTCGCGACAAACCACACAGAGCTCTGCACGTGTCCGTGGTCAAGCGGTCTCCAGCGGAAGGCAGGACACGGCGTCCTGCCTCTGGGGGGGACCCACGCTTACTCAAAAGCGACAGGGGGCGGGGGACGCTACGGGGCTGCTTCCCACCCAGGCGGGCAGAGAGGCCGGCCCGGCAGCTGGAGGCCTCTCGGATCATCTGCTTGTCTCCCCACGCGTAAAATCATACCGACGACGACAGTTACCATAGCTGTTGAAGGTGGAAAGGGGAAACAAACAGTCTCCCGCGGTCTTTGAGCTTAAAGGAAACACACAGGTTCTGTTAGAGAAAGCACATTGCGATAACAGACAGCTCGGGGGGCACGGGGCTCGGGGAGATAAGAGAAGCGTGTTCCAAAGTTTATTGAAAATGGAAGAGGCGGTCCTCAGGTCACATCCACCTCTCCTGAGTCCCTGTCTTAACTGAAGTTCCCACAGTCACACCATGTAATGCTCAGGAGTTAATTTAAAAGTGCTGTTTAAGCTGCTTTGAATCTTCTGCCAAATTTCCATGGCTTGATGTTGTCTTACAATAAATTACTTATCTCATTTCTTACAGTTAATCCATATGCCATTTCCTTGGAATGCAAAAAACCTCATTTATTGCCCCCACCATACACCATCCTCCTAAAACAAACAAACAAAAAAATCACATAATATTTCCAAGCATTGTTCAAAAATAAAGCATTTTTTTGCAACCAATTCTTGCTATGAAACAATATGCACATAAAATGTAGTTCTTAAATTCCGTAAAATCCTCCAACATGAGGCAAAATGATAACATCTAAAAAGTGGCTGCAGGACCAAACGATCGTTCAAAGCTTTTTTTTCTTGTCCATTTCAGTTCAAAACACTAAAACATTTAATCACTAAAGCATTAAAAAGAATGTACACTCTATTTACTTGGATCAGCTTACCCCTTCAGAAATATATATGCCCCAAGTGTGCAGACATTAGCAGCTGTAAACATTACATGGCACGTCCACTAAGCCAGCTTATATGAAACGCACAAAATGTGAATGGATTCAGAACTATTCTGCAGGTACTATCTTCAGAGCAAGACATGAAATCATCATGAAGTCTGGTGAGCATAACACTGCTTCAAACAGAAGTGCGTGTGTGACACTTCCTGGCAACACAGCAGCAGACGGCAAGAGGCGTCCTTCTTTAAGCAAGGCCCCGCCGCTGCGGCGGCTGCTCAGACCTGGATTCCTCTCACAGCCTGCTTTACACTTTCCAGCAGGGCCTTACTTTCTGGGCTCTGATAACGGTCTTGATTTGTATACATGTCCGTCAAAGTAGTCACGTATGCGTCAAAATTTTGTTCATTGATTGGATCCTACGAGATATTAAATAGTAGTTCATACACAACTTGTACTCTCCGAACAGGAGACTCACATCAGCACACAACAGCATCGCAGCGCAGCGCCTCTGTCCCTGTGACACCGGGAGGCCTGTCCAGAGCAACCTAACCTTACGGGGCTCACTGGGTCCTCCCCACCGAGGTTCTAGCGGGTAGCGCTATGGTCTGGGGGAGGTGACCGCAAGCATCCAGAGCGTGAAGAACCAGGAGAACAGGAAAGGAGAGAGCTACCCTACGGTGCGCACGGCGGGGCGCCGCCGAGCCCTGTCCTGCGCCCTCGGTCACTTACCATGTGCGGCAGCTGGATGTTGGCCAGGCTGTGGATCAGGGACTGGCTCAGGCTGGCCAGCTCGTGCAGGAGGGACTCGTTCTGCTGCTCGATCACCTTGTTCTCCTCTTCGATGGTCTTCAGGCTGCTCTCCATGGTGGTGATCTGAAACACACAGGGCAGCGCGACATGTAACACAAGCCGGCGGGGCGCGCACCTCGCCGCGCGAAGACTCAGCTACCGAGGTGGAGACGGAGCCCTTTGCTCGAAAGGAAGAGGCTTCCAAGCTAAGAGCTGGTCGCTTTCAGGGCTCGCCTTCGATGCTCTGAGTCATCGCACTTGAAAACCTGGCGACTGGACGACGAGGGCCCTCTTTCCGAGAAGGAGCTAAGGAGGGTAGGTTCCCGCTGTGTCAGCTTCTGCCGGCGCCTGCGCAGAGATCAGCACAGGACAGCCGTGCGTTTGACCCGCTGCTTCCACTGTGTGATGGGCTGTTTGTTTGGATCAGGGTCATGGCTGCTGCTCAGACGTCTCCTTCGTCTGTATCTGATCCTGCACAGGTAAGGCTTAAATTACCTGTGAGCTAGTCACCTGTGAGGTGCGTCACGTCGCCCCGTGGGCACCAGGTGGGCACATCTGCCTGCACGTGATGGCTTCCGCCCTGTGTGGCGTAAAGGCTGCCGTGGCTTCCCGGCTGCTCTTCCTCCCTCTAACGCCCCAGGGAGAGTTGCTGTGGTCGAGGGGCTTTCGTGTGCTGCCCTCTGGCCTCCACCTACCACTGGACACCCACACTTCATGCCTCAGCTCAGCGGGAGAGCTGCCCGTCTGCACGGATGGCAGGGACGCAGCCGTGCGGCTCCGTCCCTCCCCGGGGTCTCTGACCGGGTTGGGGTGTTCGAGGTGCCAGCAAGCCCGGCAGCGGGGCCTCCAGCCTTCCAGGGTCTTCCATGGTGGGCTCTGGCCGAAGACAAGGAGGCAGAGGCATCCATGGGGAGCGTGTGGCCCCGGAGGGCCGGGCTGCAGACGTGTGTGCCCCCAGACGCGAGCGGGCCATGGGAGGCGTGGGAGGAGGGCACCTGGCTGGGTGTCAGCGGGAGGCTTCCCGTGAGCTCTGCGTAGGTGCTGACCCGCTCACCAGAGCCGGGACCTCCTGTGATGCCCACCGGCCGGCTCCTCACTGGGGGCCGTGTTCGCCCAGCCTGCAGCTCACCCTCCGACCCGAGCACAGCGGAGCCTGGGCCCTGGAGCGGCCTGACCGCACCGTCTGGGTGGTCACCCCTCAACAGCCAGGTCAGGGACAAGACCCTTAGAATTCATTGTGACATCAAACGTGCACAGGTGCCACCAGGACCCAAGAGTCACAGTGACATCAAAAAAGACCCAAATGGGCAGCCAGGGCCCCCATAGGGATGACAGGTCACAGGGGGACGGCAGGCAGGCCCCGGGCTCCGGGCAGGAATGCTCTATGTCTGCGTCCCGGGAGCCCAGTCCAGCCCGCGTCCTGAACTGGGCCCCCGCGCCCGGCCTTGTCCTCAGGGGTGAGACTGCTTCTGGTCAGGGACAGGGGAGCAGGCACGTGGGAAATGCTTGCAGTGGGGGCTGAGGTGGGGGAGCCCTCCAGGACGCCGGGGGATGAGGCCCTGCCAGAGGAGGACAGTGCTGAGAGATGTGCCCTTCAGGGGGTCCTCAGGGCCATCTGGTGCCCCAACTTCTGCCGCAGAACAGACTCCAGGCGGGTGTCCCCACGTGACCCGGGTCCTGGGGCGCGTCTGCCTGAGCAGGGCCCTGCAGTTCCCCGGGCCAGCGCCCCACCCCTGCCCCGGCCTCGGCCTGGCCTCGGGGAGAAAAGCTGGGGGTTTGGATGAAAGTTAAGGAAAGCTCCCGCTCGCCTCGGACGAGATTCCAGTCGGAGCACAGCTGGGGCCAAGGCTGCAGTCAGTGGGGAGGCTGACGTCCGAACAAGTAGACAGGACAGCCCTGGTGGGCAGGGAAGGCTCAGACCTCACACCTGCCCGAGGTCACGAAAGGGCAGCTCTGGGATCCTGGCGGTTCCTCTGGCAGGGAGGCTGTGCCCTGGTGGACGGTGGACGGGGGTCGGCAGTGACGGTCCCTGGCCTCATAAGCCCTCGGGTAAGTCCTCGGGCCTGAGAATCCCAGCAAGGCTGGCGACTGCCCGGGAGGGGACCACTGTGGGTGGGTGGGGGTCCAGGCCCCAGGCAGAGTGGGTGCTAACAGAACAGGAGCCCCTGGCCTCTCCAGTGACGGCAACGTGAGGGAGATCCCACCTGGGCGTCGGGCCCTGCGAAGCCCCCGGGGAGGCGGCCGGCGTGTGGCCAGCGATGGGCCAGGCCAGCTGGTCACTGCCAGATCTGTGACCTTGACTCAGCCACAGAGGTCACTGCTCAGAACCTAACCTTATGTGTAGCACGAGGTGTGGACACTTACCGGGGGGCTGCTGTGAGCGCATGGGGTTACAGGACCAAAGCCCCTGGGGTGTGGCCTCCGGCCGATGCTTAGAAAGGCCCGTATCCTCCCGCCCACCACCTACTTGGCCACAGGGCACTGGGCGTCTGCACCCACGTGTGGGGCTGGGGACCTGCACACACAGACCGGGGCTCCTGGGAGCCCCAAGGGGCAGGCGTGCCTTTCAAGTCCCAGGGTTGTCGCCCGACTCAGTTCACTGACACGAGTCAGTGACATCGGGGCCCTCAAATCCTGGTGGGACAGCGCTCACGCGGGCATCGCCGGGTGGCCCTCCAGGAGTGGCTGCTCAGGAAGGGCGTGTCATTAACACCCCGACCCCGACCCCGGACAGAAAGCCAGCGTCCAGTGGCCCCAGCAGGTTTTGCCCCCTAAATGATCTCAGCAGGAGACCAAGAGAAAAGGTGAGCCAATCGAGGCGAAAAGGGGTGAAGAACGAGGAAGGTGCCGCCCCAGCGTCTCCTGGCATCACAGCACTCGAGACGCTGGTTGAGGGCTTCACACACTGTTACCTGAGTTCTGAGCTTGATCATGTCGGCTTCCATCTGGGAGTTGGACTCATTCAGCTCCTTGATCTCCTCGTCCAGCTGCTTGATCTCCTCATCGTTCTCGATGCCTGGAACGACGGAGCGCAAGTCAGACCGCCCGCAGGCGGGGCTGGGCAGTCAGAGCCTTGTCTCAGCTCCTTCTAGACTTGGAACCAAATTTGCTGGGCAAGTGTACTCTGGGATTAAAAACATCGTCACAGCCTGTGTGTCTTCTGTCCCTACAACCATCCTGCTTACAATTAAGGCTCCTAAAAACGAAGAAGTTAACGGAGGGCACACAGACTACCCCCACCCCAAACCAGAAGGGTCCTTCTCCCTAGGATGGGTACCCAGGGCCTCTGGCTCCGGCCACAGCTGTGTCCTGGACACGGACTTACCTTGTGCAGGTCACGAGTGGCCTCCTTGTTCACTCTCTCTCTGGTCTCTCTGTCTCTATCCCCCCCGTCCATCACTCTGAGAATCAGCCCGGCTCTGCAGACACATCTGCAGAGCCAGCGGGCCCCCGCCCTCACCAAGTCTAGGAGTTGGGAAGGTGACCTGACAACAGACATGTAACCACACCCCTGATTCCTGGGAGCTGAGAAAGCCACCTCCCGTGGGAGGGAGCGTCGGGCAGCGACAGACAACAGGTCCCAGAAGGGCCCCCTGAATATCTGACCAATAACGACCCCCTCGTTCAGACCTGCGGGGTTGCCCAGCTTGGCTGGAACATCCTGCCCGAGCGGCGTCCTGAGGGGTGTGCAGCCCACGAGGGCCTGGGGGAGCTGCACCTGCAGAGCATGCGCTTACAAGGGGTCTTTTCAAGGCCGGCTCTGCCGGTGGCTGCTGGGGTCAGAAAGGTCTCTATCCTCCTGGTGTTGGCAGTCAGTCCCCCACGGCTGAACTCCTGCCACTAAGGGTGCGGAGTGGCTGCCCCCACCACTCACACAGCTCAGCCAGGGATCTGCACTCAAAACTGGAGGAAAACACACGCAGCCCAGGCACCCAGGGGCCTGGGGGGCAGGCACTGTGGTCCAGCTTTGCAGACAGAGGGGTACAGTCCGCCCGAGGCGGAAGACCCCGACATCCCTGAAATACAGCCAGAGACTGGTGAACGGGGTCCTCCCTCAACGAGACGTCGAGGGGACAAAGAAAAGAGAGTTGGGGAGATCAGCGGGGTTGGGTCTTAATTGCCGATTTTAGTGAAATGAAAAAAAGATTGGAAGGAGTAAGCTGCCTTCTGCAGAGTTGCATTTCTTCCATGACGTCCCCTGTCCTCACAAAAGCCCTCGGGAGGAGCGTGCCATCGTGTTCAATCTAATTGCCCACGTAATCAGTCCTCCTTCCCAGTCGTTTCTCCTGCTGACCCGCTCTGGTGTGGAAGCAGGCCTCCCCCGCACACGGGCTGCCCTCCGCCTCCGCCTTGCTCTGGCCACCACCCCACCCGAGGGATGGCTGTGGCCTCACCAGGAGCCACGCCTCTGCGTCCCTGAGCTCTGCTCGGCCTCTCAGGTCCCCAGGGTGCGTCCTCCGCTGGCACCTCGACTGCAAAGCCTCCCTATTTACCAAACGCACCCGAAAAGCAGCCGAGGATGCGATAGAAATACCGCCAGGAGCTTCCCAGGTGTGGGCTGCTCTCCCCCCGTTTACTTTATTACTGGTTTATTTATTCGCACCGTGTGCGAGTTTATGTGATCACGGCTCTGCCCCTCCCAGGCAGGCAGGGATCCTGTCCCTGGATCTCCCAGCCTGAGGGGCGCTGGGGAGCCACCAGCACTGCAGTTCAGTGGCTTGCTTCCCCTTTTCATACGTGACTAGACCTTTAGGGCAACCTTCCAAAATTGGGCGCTGGAACCGACTGAGTTAATGTCCCTAACGCTTGGCACACAGGAGGTGCCTGTCGGGGGCGGGCAGTGTGGCCATTCCTCTGCAGAAACAGCTCAGACGCACTTCGAGGTGAGACTGCCCAGGGCAGGAGAACCCTGATTTGTAAAGCAACCAAATCAGCAGTCAATTTATTATTTCACGAAGATGCGTCCCAGCACTCAGCTACATTGCAAGCGGTCCGAACGCACTGGGAGCACCTCTCGTGCAAACCAGGAACACTCACAACCCCTCGCTCCTCGGGCTGTGACCGTCGGGTTTTCCAGGTGAGTTTCCGCGAAGATTTCTGAGCATGCTCTGAATGTCACAGGTCTTCAGTTTTTTAAGTTTGGATGATTTGAAAACCTCCCTTTTCCCAGGTGTGTCTCGCAGTTGCTGTTGAAGACGAACCACGTGCAGGGAGGGGCCTCACGCCCTTCTCGGAAGCACAGAGCATCTCCCCGGTTCTCCTGTCCCGAGGTCCAGCGGCCTCGCGAGGCGTCCTGGTCCTTGTTCGGGGGCAGGCTGGGCTTGGAGCCGCCGCTACACGTCCTAGTGCTCTGCGGCTCGGCTCCCCAGGCGGACCTTCTCCCCCTGGGGAGACGCCGGGCGAGGGAGACCCCCAGGAGCAGTCTCCTTCCACGTGCTAACTAAAACGTCCAGGTTCTACCTGCACGTGACGCGAACCTGCCAACGAGCAGCCTGACGGCATTTACAGAGACCGCTCTGGCCAGGGTTCACACACGGAGCTGGTGTAGCTCTTCCCGGGGGCCACCTGCTGCGGACCCCAGAGCTAGCTGCTCAAAATACTGGATTTTAGATAACTCATGGTAGGAAGGGTGAAAAATGCCCTACACAGCTGCTTCCAACACCAAGACTTCACGTTTCCCTTGAGAAGTGAGTGGAATTGTAGGCAAAAGAGTCCACTTCAGGGCTGGCAGTCTGAAGATCACTCCACTGTTATAAACCCCAGAGAACCATGGGAAAGGCCAGCATGCCTCAACACTCCAACTACGTCCCCTCAACTGGCTTGTCAGAGGCGCTCCATCAATGGTCTCTCATACACAGCAAGGCACACAGAACGCCCCCAGCTCCAGCATCTTTGTCTTGGGGCTAGATTCTGGCCAATGGGAACTTAGAAGAATTTTGATACAGTCATGGGAAGAGAAGCTGGCGTCTCTGGAATACAGGTGCGACCATGGAGGGCCATTTCACTGGTTTGAATTTTGAGGAAAGCGTGTCCAACAATAATTATGTTCTGTTTGACTTTCATGGAAAACCGTGTCTGAACAGGGGACAGAGACTGCGTTATGTCTGGAAGCATTTGTGAATGGCCTTGACGAGAGGTTTCGGGAGCCTGGGGTTTAGTGCCAGGCTTTGAAACGCGGCAAATCTAAATCCGTATCCTGGTACTTGAGAGTTCCGTGATGAGCAATTTTCTTAATGCCTTGGAACCTCAAATCCCTCCGTTGCAAACAGGTCCCTCTCCTACACAGTGGGTGTAAGAAACGAGTGAGCTATGTGAGATGCCCGCCCCGCAGCGAGGTTCCCCACACGGGGGCCACGGAAGACGCCAACAGTCCTGCTTCTAGGGCACCCAGACAGTACCGGGGCGCTCGTGTCTGCGGGCGTATCTCTGTGTGCCGGAAAGCAGCACAGACTCATGTCGTCCTGCTGACCCAGGACAGTCGTGTCCGCTGACACACACTTAAAAGAAAAGCCAAATCTTGTACGTGGTCTAGTGCAGTGGGCTTCAATACTTGTTGAATTAAAGAATTAAAAAGAAGACATGCCTCTCTCTCATAAGTCCTGAAATTATCATCTAAAGGTTTTTATTGTGACTTAAATTAGTTGCCAAAAAGGTATATTTGTAGGAAATTATATGTTGCAGAGTTATTTCAGTATATTTCTATCAAAACCTTGGACCAGGTGTTTGACAAAACTTATGAAAAAAGTCTACTGTATAAACTAAGTGGCAAATCAAGATTTATTATCTAAACAACCTGTAGGTCAAATCGGCCTTCTGACAGAGGCCGCTACCACTTTGAAGCCAATCAGAGCAGCAGCGAGGCCCCCCAAGACGAACTTTCCGTCCCTAATTTTTATTCTAGGAGCAATGAGTGGATGGTGGGTGGATGGTGGGTGGAGGGATGGATGAGGGGGTGGGTGGGTGGATGGGTGGATGGGTGGAGGGTGGACGGGCGGAAGCACGCATGAGTGGGTGGGTGGAGATGTGAGGTTCTGCCTGGATGAACTGAAGAGCTCAGCACCGCTCCACTATGTCGTCCTGAAGCTCTCCCCGGACGTGCCTTCAGAAGCCCAGCTTTCGTGGGTGGTTCCTGGTTAGGCGCCTGCACATGTGCGAGTCCAGGACTGGTGGGGGGGCAGCCTTTCTTGGGTGGCCGTGGGGAAGGTGGGGGAACAGCTGGCAGATGACAGACTGATTCTCAGTTCATCGGATTCCGGAGACAGTCAGGTGGAATCTGAGGGTCTGGAAACAAATTTCCTTAGAGTTCCCCATGGCCACACGTCCCCAGCGGCCGCCCAGCGGGCGCCCTGCTAGCCAGGGCAGTGCGGGTGCCCAGCCACGGTGAAGGCTGGGGGCTGGCTCTTCCAACTTACATCTACTTTTCCAAGAGAGAACCAGTCCTTCCAGGTCAACTGCCATGTCTGGCGGTTACAGAAGGAGGGCCCTGAATTTCTGTTGCCCTTTGCACAGAGACGGCAGTTTGAGAGATGGCAACGGGGCAGTGGCCCTCTCCCTGGCCGTCCCGCCGGGTGTGGAGGCCTGCTGTCTTGATTTCTTTCTTTTCTGGGCCTGCACTGCCTTCCATCCATGAGTCATAAACTGGCACAGACTCAGATCAGTTTGCCTGAGATTCTTGCTTCAGAGCCAGGGTTGTGTTGGGGGTGAGGTGTCAGGCTAAACATTTTGGAACGAGCTCAGGGAATGTTGTTTCCTTCCTGGCAATGAGCACAGCCCTCGTCAGCAAGTGGGAGGTGGCGCTGGTGGCCCCGGAGTCTCGGACCGGCTCCGCACGCTGGGCTGGCTGGAGGACTGATGGGAGATGCGGGCCGACGCTGAGGGCCTGTCAGCTCGTCCCCACGGCTCCGGCAGCTGCCCTGCCCTGAGCAGAGGTGGGCGCAGAACACTGGGCTCTGAGCCTTCGAGGTGGAGACCCGGCTGTCTTCCTGGTAAATGATGACCGACGGGTTAAGAGTGCTTCTCCCCGAGCTGCCCGTGCTGTCCTCAGGACCGAAGATGAGCGTCCAGCGAGCAGCAGGAGCCTCCAGGCCGAGGCCGGGGGCCCGCGCACCCGCAGACCGCGAGCTCCTCAGGGTTGTGTCCTGGCCCGTGGGGGCCCACCAGGGAGGGGCAGCCCCAGAACGTAGGAGGACTGGGGCCTGGGCTCCACCCGACGCCCAGTTCTGGGGGCCTGAGCTGTGACGGCTCCAGGGGGACCCCTGTTTTCTGGCACTCGGCTCCTGGAGGGACACAAAATCAGGGCAGTGCCTTGGCCAGAGCCCGGCGCCACCCCGTCCGTGGGAAAGCCTGCTCTGCCGGAGCGCCTTCCTCACGAAGTCCTCCCAGGGGCCGGGAGGGGAGGTCCAAGCTTGCTCCTCATTGGTGGAGTTCTGTTCTCTGAAGTCTCTGCAAACACCCCTGGTGACTGCTGGCCCTCGGCTCCTGGGGGCACACTGGGGACGCCCCCGGGAGCCTCTGTCTTCAGTGGATCAGCACCCGGCTTTCTGTTAAGGACGCCTTATCTAACGTATGCTGCCGATTCATGACCACTGAGCTCCTGGCCGACAGCCCTACGACCACAGCGGGACGCTGCCTCCCTCCGGCCCCGCCCTCCCGGCCTCCTCAGTCAGGACACCAGGCAGCGCTGTCGCCCTGGCTCCGGCCTCCTCAACAGGGACGTCCTCAACAGAAAAACACGAACATTCGAAAAACGCAGCGCCCAGTAGACCGTGAAGAGGACCCCGATTTATGGGATGAGCTGAAACGGGGGGAGGGGGGCCTCGCAAGAGGGTGGCTGGGGGACACTCAGACTTGCTCTGCACTGACTGGCCCTGAAAGCACCAGGCGTGCTTTTACACACAGACCCTAGTGAGCAGGGACTTCACAGACGTGGCCCCCGAGGGTGGCTGGCGGGATCTCTGAGGCCTCCAGCCCCCACAGCCGGCCCTGCAGCTTCGTGGCCCCACGTGGCATCTGCAGGGAGGGACTGGCTGGTGGACTGGAGGGGGCCTGGCCCCCAAGTGAGAGTGCGGGAAATGGTGGGCGGGCTACGTGCAGCCCGAGGGACCCTGGCTTAGCCCCTGGGAGGCCCCCCAGGGCACAGGGGAGGGGATGGGGCCACAGTCGGGGGACGGCCGTGGGGAGGCTGCTTCCTCCCCAGTGGGTGGGCGTTGCACAGGCCAGAGGGCCCTCTGTGGCTGCTTCCTGAGGGGCGTGGCAGGAACGGTGGGCTTGGTCAGGGGTCAGGGTGACGGGGCGCGGTTACCGTTGCTGGCTCTCTGCCGGATGGTCAGCATCTGCTCCCCCGACAGCTTCGCCTTCTTCATCGCCGACGTGGCTCTCGGGCACCCCGACAAGCTGGGGACGAGACACGAGATGGCGTTAGTCACCAGGCCACGTCGGTCCCGGCACAGGGTGAGCTGCAGGTGGGACGCAGACCACACGGACGGGAGGGCAGGGACGCCGTGCCCTGGGGCGGCGTCTGTGCGCCACGGACCCTGCGGGCTGATACAAGCCCTGGGCTGCTGCGTGGCCCAGGTGAGGTCCAGCAGCCGGGGCTCGGGGCCGGGACGGAGACCGGCCCCTTCACGGCCGCATCAGCCTTTCAGGGCTGCCGGGACACTTACGGAGTAATCATCTTGCTTTATGGCAGAAAGTTTCCAACTTGTACAAGGGTTGGATTCAAAACTTAATTTCCAACGACAGAAGTAAAGAGGGCAGAGTCATGAGCTCCCGCCAGACTCCCAGCCTGGCGCCCGGGGCCCCAGCTGTCCCACTGCCGTCAGCTGAGGGACCCCACACGGAGCCTCAGCTCCCCCACCTCCCCCGAGCGCCTGCACCGTGTGCCGGCACCTTGCAGGGAGGGTCCAGACCCCCAGGCGTCTCCTGACTTTGTCAGCGGTTCACTGCCAGGGGGTCTGCAAGTGCGCGTGGGCTGGGCACAAGGGGCCGACCCCCGTCTCGGTGGGACGGCTCCTCCCCGTTTCTTCCCCTCTGGGGATGTGTTGAGAACAAAGTCTGGGCCTGAGCGTCTGAGCCTGGGTGTCCTCGCACCTGCCCCTGGTGGCCCCCCCACCCGGCCGCCATCCCAAGGAGCCACACGGGATGGTCCCCCTGCACCTCCGTCAGCAGCCCGCTGGCCCTTCATAGACGTGGCGCGAGAGCCCCTACGTGCATGTTCCTTCACACGTGTCAAGTTTCTATGTATAATTTGGTGCTCCGTCTGCATCTCCAGGGCCAGGACCCCGTCCGTACGCCATGACGCGGGGTTGGGGTTCGCCGTAGCTACACCCGCACGCCCAGTGCTGGTGCAGGTCACGTGGCCATGAGCAACGGCTGGCACAGTCCGGCAGGAGGCCTCGGGCGTCTCCTCGCACAGGTTTTCTAACACGTTTTTCAGATGCAGATTTTAGCAGTGGTTTAGGGAAGACGTTATCTCTGCACAACACACGTCTCCTCTGCTCCTTGCAAGGAAGTTCCGAGCCGTTGGTCTGACGAGACGGTGCACCTGGTGACGGTGCCAAGGTGCCTCCGCACCTGCCGTGCTTTCCAGCACCTCCGGGGTCCACGCCCGCTCAGGGAGCTTCCGGGTTTACAGGGGAAGGGGCAGCGGGGACGCCAGCCCAGAGGACCTGCCTCCTGTTTGTATCATCCGGGCATCATCCCTGGGCCCAGCGTGCCGCCAGGTGCTCCAGGTACTTGCAGATTGCATGCTGTGCTCTTGGGGTGACTCCCCACCCTGCTGTCCCCCTTGAACAGGAAGTGGTCAGAGGAGGTTAAGGACAGCGCGAGGGTGGACGGCAACGAGAAGGAAGCCTCCATGCAGAGGCTGGCAGGGTGAGGGGCCAGGTGTTTCACGCGTGACTAGGCGGCTGGCGCCCAGACCAGAACACGCAGCAGGATGACCTGGAAGCAGATTAAAACTCAGATCCCTAGACCCGGGCTGAGGGTCAGAGCCAGATTTCAGTCTTAAGTCGCTCGTCTGAGTTTCCAGCTAACTGCACTGCCAGTTGGGAATGACAAATAACGGTGCCGTTTCAGGAGGGAGACTGCAGCCTGAGTCAGGAACTAAATTAGGAGACAGACGGAGACAGGCCCACGGAACGGTGCGTTTTGTGCAGACACGCCTGTCCTCGGTCCCTCCCATTCCGATCCAGTGAGTGCATCCCAGCACGGGTCAAATTTGGAAGTGTGCGGAGCGGCCTGGCAGGGCGTGGGTGGCGAGAGTCCCCAGCGAGGACACAGTGCCACCTAGTGGCAGCTCGTGCCAAGCTCGCTTCGCGTGGCACCGAGCGCCTGGGGTCCGCGCTGGTCCGGGGACTGGGGACAAGGCCAAGCACCGGGTGCTGCCGGGGAGCGACCCCACTCCAGAGTGCAGTTCTGAAGTGGAGACTCAGAGGCCCTTTGGAAACGTCTCTGAGCGTGGACGCGACAGGCCACAGAATCTAGACCCCGTGCAGTGAATGGTTAACGTGCCTGCCCAGCGCGCCCGCCAGGGGCCCCAGACGTCTGGCAGCACCCGCGCACCAGGAATTCCAGGGCGGGCTCCAGGCACACGCCGCTAGGGCTTCAGGAGGAGACAGCAGGAGACGGGAGGCCCAGGGCTTTATCAGGACATCCACCCAACAGGGACCTCCTCCAGGAGAACATCGCTGCTGAAAATGGCTACATTAGTAGGAGTTCCCGGTGGGCAGGGGCTGTCAAAAGACCTGGTGGTGTGACTGTCCGCGGCGAGAACAGGAAATTCCAGCGCGTGCGGGGACGCGCTGCTCAGATGCCTGCTCACAGCCGGGTGGGCCGCGAACCGGGAACAAAGGGCCCCGACGTGAAGGGCCTGTGACCGCTCCCCTCCCAGGGACACACGTCCAGGTGCCGACAGCCGTTTGCAGCGGGTTTCGCTGTCACGATGCCTTGTTCGCTTCACTGGTTTCCGTTTCACCTGTGCCGTCGCGACCCTCCCAGTAACAATGCGCAGCGCGCCGCACGGCACACAGACGCCGCCCTCCACGTGCGGACGCCGTGGAGTGTCCAGCTGGCTCTGGGTGTTGGACAGGGTCTGCAGACATTGACAAACCGGCACTAACACCCAGAGGACATGCCACATGCGCGGGAGCAGCCAGTTTTGTGTCTGCTTCCTGGGGAATTAGGGTTTCAAGAGGGGCCCGGGCAGATGTGTTGGGGGCACAGGGTGTCCTCTGGCCCCCAAGGAATTCCCACCTCTGATTATTCATCCAATCTGCCCCTAACTCAGTGTGACCGGGTGTCCTTGAGGCCCCTTCTCAGTCCAGGATACGAATTTGGAGATTTTCCCCCAAATATCCTGTTTCTCCCAAAATATGTTCTGTGTCAAAAGCACACCCTGAGCCTTGCAGAGAGGGCAGCACAGGGCAGGAGCCTCTGTGCTCAGCCGTCGGGGCCTTCAGGGCAGACGGGGCCTCTCCCAGCTGTCAGTGTTAATTAGCAGGGGGCTGTGGGTAAGACAGCAGAGTCAGCAGGCATTGAAACCAATCACTTTGTTTCTTCTGCTTGTGTCCCACTCAGTGAAGGGCGTTTTGACAGCATCATGGTGAGTTAGGCCTTTGTGAGCGTCTGGGGTCCTGGTGGTCAGCTACCACCAGATTGCTGGCATCTCTCCCCTGCCAGCAAGGGAGACCCAGGGGCTCCTGCAGTGGTCCTGGTAAGGGCTTCAGGAGGGCAGCGGGGTGTGGCTGGGGGTCTGTGCGATGTTCAGGACGGAGTTCAGACCTGGGCTGGCAAAGGTGGGAGCCCCCAGCCACATGTGGGGGTCACATTTCAACTGTATCAACTGAAATCAAGCCTCTTTAAACCGTCAGCCCCGGGCTGGCCATGGGGGCTGAGCTTCAGCCTCGGACGTGCGGTGACCAGGGGGCTGCACAGAGGACCGCGGTGCCCAGCACGTGCTCTGTGACAGGGCAGGACAGGGCGGGGCTGCCGGGAGGCCCCCAAGGGGTGTCTCCAGAGGAAGCAACCTGCCCCCTGGGGCCCGAGCGTTTTCTAGTTTGGAGGGAGGGTCTGCCCACAGAGGGAGTTCAAGGAGGAGCTGACAGCAGTGGGCGGACGTGGTAAACCGGTCCTCACGTCCAAGCCTCTGACCAAGTACAGTGCAGGCGTGGTGGCCTCGCGGGCACTCTCGGCGGCCTGTGGGGTCCCTGGGGTGTCTCACCCCGTCTCGCTAGCGTCACGGGGGCTGACGATGCACCAGGTGACACCGTCTGCGGGGCCAGCACGCAGGGCTCCGGCCTCTCGGTTCTCAGGGTGTTTCCTCCGACTCCTCGCTGCTCAGAGGGGACAGGACGGAGGACGAGGCAGGGCAGGGGCAGGCCTGGACAGAAGGCCGCAGGAGCAGGGCCAGCGCCCAGGGAGGACGCCGAGCCGGGAGGGGTGACCTCACAACGCAGTCTCAGGGCAGGCGCTGCCTCCAAGCACAGCTGGGCGGGGACACACCATCGGAGACAGTCCCATTCCAGCATTTCTCAGACAGGAACAGGGCCAGAGCAGGAGGGTCACAACACACGTCCCCAGGACAGTGTGGGCAGGAAGGAGCCGGGAAGCAGGAGGTCCTCGCTGTCCGCTCAGGGGCATAGGGAAGCAACTCCCAGCTGCCTGGGTCTCCCGTGAGCGCGCCGGGCGGGCGAGGAGGGTGCTCCCCCCTCATCGAGGGGGCTCCTCTCTGTCCCTCACGTTTCTGAGGCCCCCGTGACTGGACTGCAGGGTTGGGGAGGCCAGGCCACAGGAGGCCGCCCCCCCGAATGCCGTCCTGGTGGGGGGGGGGCTGGGGTCAGTGAGGGACTCGTGAGTGGGAGTCAGCGCTTCTCAGTGATGCATTTCTGTTTTCCTCTTAATTTCACCACTGGTTTTGCTAGAACCAGAGCATTTACGCCTTAGGAAGCCATTGCTAGAGCTGAAAGCAGAAAGAGGCTTTGAGTTTCAAAGGCTTCGAGACTGGGAGCTGCCAGAGGCAGAAGGAAGTCAGAGCACAGGCCGTGGGTGTGGAAGGAGAGTCCCTGGAAGGGGAAGGAAGAGCACAGAGAGCCGAGAGCTGCTGGTCCGAGAGGAGGCCCCCGACACGCTGGGGGTGACAGGCCCCCCGCCCCTCCGGCCCGCGAGCAGCCCGGCAGAGGGGAGAAGCCCCACCGCCTTGGCCGAAGGCCTGGCGCGGTCGAAGGCTGGGGACCAGTGGCTGGAGAGGCCTGGCGGCCCCAGGAAAACACAGGCCAGTGGTGTGGGCGGGTGACCAGATGGGACAGGCCCAGGAGGCCTCTGGGGCTGCCCGCGCACCAGGATGGACCCCCTGGATGGATGCGGGCGCCCGGATGCCCTAGGCCCCAGACCAGGTT